TACAGAAATCTGTACAGTAGCCGAGACAACCACGACCTTAAAATAATAACTAGCACTAACCCAGATGACACCCCACCAGTAATGATAGAAGTCAGAAAAGCCTTGGATAGCATGCAAAGAGGCAAAGCTGCTGGTGAGGATCGGGTAACATCAGATCTACTGAGAGATGGAGGATAGATTGTGTTGGAAAAACTACCCACCCTGTTTACGAGGTGTCTCCTGACGAGAGAGCACCAGAATCTTCGAGGAATGCTAACATCATCCTAATACATAAGAAAGGAGATGACAAGGACTTGAAGAATTACAAGCCAATCAGCTTGCTCTCTGTAGTATACAAGCTATTTGCAAAGGTAATTGCTAACAGAATTAAGACATTTGAATTCAATCAACCAAAAGAACAAGCAGGATTTCGAACAGGCTACTCAACAATCGACCACATTCATACTATCAATCAGGTAATAGAGGAATGCTTTGAATATAGCCAACCACTATACATAGCCTTCATAAATTACGAGAAGGCGTTTGACTCAGTAGAAATATCGGCAGTCATGGAGACATTGTAGAGTCAGGGTGTCGACGACGCATATATAAACATTATGGAAGAAATCTACAGGGAATCAACTACTACCATAGTGCTTCATAAAGAAAGCAACAGAATACCAATCAAGAAGGGTGTAATGCAGGGGGTACAATCTCCCCAATGCTATTTACCGCGTGCTTAAAGGAGGATTTAAGAGGTCTATAATGGTAACAGTTAGGAATAAGAGTAAATGAAGAGTACCTTAGTAACCTGTGCTTTGCTGATGACATTGCATTGCTGAGTTACTCAGGGGACAAATCGCAACTCATGGTTACAGAGTTAGATAAGGAGAGCAGAAAGGTAAATCTTAAAATAATCTGCAGAAACGAAAATAATGTACAACAACCCCAGAAGAGAGCAGCGCTTTGAGATAGGTAATAGTGCACTTGAAGTTGTAGAAGACCATGTCTACTTAAAATGGGTAATAACTGCTGAGCCGAACCACGAGATTGAAGTAACTGGAAGAATAAGAATGGGGCGGAGCACATTTTGCAAGCACTCTCAAATCATGACAGGTAGATTGCCACTATTCCTAAAGAGGAAGGTATATAACAGCTGAATCTTGCCGGTACTTAGATACGGAGCAGAAAGCTGGAGGCTTACAAAGAGGGTTCAGCTTCAATTGAGGACAACGCAGCGAGCAATGGAAAGGAAAAAAGTATGTGTAACCTTAAGAGACAAGAAGGGAGCAGAGTGGATTAGGAAACAAACTGGGGTTAAGGAAATCATAGTTGAAATCAAGAACAGGAAATGGACATGGGCCGGGCTTGTAGCGCGTAGACAGGATAACCGCTGATCATTGAGGGTAACTAACTTGATTCCCAGAGAAGGCAAGCGGAATAGAGGGAGACAGAAGTTTAGGTGGGCAGATGAGATCGAAAAGCTTGTGGGTATAAACTGACAGCAGTGAGCACAGGACCGAGCTGACTGGCGGAATATGGCAGGGTCGTTTGTCCTGCAGTGGACGTAGTCAGGCTGATGATGAAAGGCGTAATGAGAGGCTCTTGAGAATGTCTAAAACAGTGGTTCTCATCCATGCATGTTTTGCAACCCTATGTAGACTGGTGGAACTAATGAAGGGGTCATTTGCAGTGAGAAAGGGGGGGGGGGGTAGTAAATTACAAGAATGGGCCTTACAAAATAGGTGTGTTTTATTCATACTCTACTATGAATGGTCGAACAAAAATTTCCTCGTCAGTTTGACCCCAATGGCTTGTGAATGAGTTGTGTGATCTGCAGTGACATTCAACTAGTCTCTACCTATATTTTCCTGAAAAAGGCATGCTTGCGTCCATATGTCATAGAAAACTGCAACACAAACCTTCAAGCCATCTTGTGGAGGAAAACATAGGTCAGTTCCGTTGCAATACAAGTGTGTTGTGCAGTGTAGCACGCTAAAGTGCCAGAGGGGTGGTTGCGTCGAAAGTAATTGCATTTTCAAAAAGAGTTCTTTTGTTGCAATAGCAGTTATATGGACACTCTCGGCTGGATTTTGTCGCCGGTGTCTTCACTCACCGTATATGTACCGTATTTTCTGGTCTATAAGTCGCACCCCCCTTAAAACGGCAATTTTTCCGAAAAAAAAAATGTATATAAGTCGCACCGGTGTACAAGTCGCACCTGCTCACCCAGCCATCGAGTGCCGCTTCATGAGAAAGCACTACAAAAATTCATGCTAGAGGCGGCCGTCGCGCTTGTAAGTTTTCAGCTGTTTGCACACACCCGTGCGAGCTCTTCCCAACATACATACACAATATTTTCAGGCTGAAGTATCTTTATTACGATGGCTAGCAGCATTTAATCAAATCCATCGAAGTCTTCTTCTTCCGAGTCGCTGACAAATAGCGCAGCTATTTTAGGACACGTCGTCCTCTGGCACGTCACTGTTGTCCTCCAACTCGTTCGATTCGGACTTAACATTGGTCACTCCGGGGATCAAACGGGCCTTGCGAAAGCCCGCCACAATGATCTTGTCAGATATTGAATTCCATGCTTCGCTCACCCATTTCGCCACTTCCCCTAACTCCACGCGTCTCATGCGCCCCGTTTTAGTGAAGCTGTGTTCACCCTCCGACATTCATGATTCCCACAAACGTCGCAGGACGGCCTTAAAGCTGCGATTAACCGAGATATCGAGTGGCTAAAGCATTTTGGGCATGCCGCCGGGTATAATTACAGGCATACAATTCTTCGAACCAATCTTTTTTTCGGCAACGTCGTTGATATGTGCCTGCATACTATCCATCACCAGCATTCCTGGCTTCACGTGGAAGAATCCGTCGGGTCGACGTGAAAAACAGCGGTCAAGCCACACACCCTTCATTTCCTCGTCCATCCAACCCTTTGTGTTCGCCTGAACCACCACTGTAAAAGGGAAAATACCTTTCGGCAAGGTTTTTCTCTTAAAAATAAGCATGGGAGGCAGCTTGGTGCCGTCTGCGCAGCAGGCGAGCACAACGGTGAAGCGACTTCTCGTGGCCTGTTGTCTTCACCGTGACAGTCTTTTTGCCTTTCTCGGCGACGCTTCTCCCAAGCGGGATGTCGAAGGTCAACGGCACTTCTTCCATGTTGACGATGTGGCTCGCGCTGATGTTATTCTTCGCTACTTCCTCCCACACGAATTCCAGGCGCAGCGTTCCAGCTGCGCCTGGAAGTCAAGAAGCTTCTGACCCACTTTAGTGGGGGATCTCATCTCAAGCTGATTCCGCCGCATAAAGCGGAAGCACCACGACGGACCACCATTGAACCCCACAGCGTTTGTCTCGACTGCCAGAGCCTTCGCCTTCAGGAGCAGCTGCACTGTTAATAGGCCTCTTCCTTCGGCTCTCTGTTGCAGCACCCACGTTCGCAGGCTACGCTCTAGGTCCGGCCAGTGTGCCTGCTTGCCGCGGTTGGCGTTCTTTGTAGACTTCATTGTCTGGAGGACACTGTGGGCTTTGCGCCAGTCCCGGATCATTTTCTCGGCGACATCAAATTCCCTCCCCTGCAGCACGATTTCCATGTTCTTCGGCAAATTCAACTGCGCGCAGCTTGAACTTGGCATCGAAACTTCGCCGACTTGTGGAGCCATGGTGCTGTTGTCAGATTAGCGAGGCCGCTGAGCCTACGCCACACGCTACGACTGGCACAACACACGCGACGCGTGCACCAAAGCAGCAGCCGCGAGTGCGGGCGGAAGTGACGGCAAAGGCAGCGGCTCGGAAATCCAAACTCGCCTTTCTTCGTTTTAAATTTTTAAAATCCCTGCACAATTTCACCCCTCTTTGATTATTTATTTTCTGCGCTAAGCTACATAAGCTGTGTTATTTCTAGAGAGTTAATTTACCACTATTTTTATTTTCTTGTAAAATGCAGTTTCTCTGCATGGCAAAAGGAGGCGCACAGCGATATCCAGGCTGCCAGAGCGGCCGAAGCCGCGGCCGCGGCGGCATCAAACCCAATTTTGACTGTATATAAGTCGCACCGACGAAAAATTCAGAAAAAAAACTGCGACTTATACACCGAAAAATACGGTAGGTGTATCTATAGACTTGAAATTGCAACAAAGAAAGAAAAACTAGAAAAAGACTCCCATGCGAGTAACCGAACTTGGGTCCTCTGAATTGTGAGTGTGAGGTGTTAACCACTGAGCCACGAAGGAGCACATCCTTCAACGTTCAAATGGCAAGCTATTTATATCTACCACATACTGCTGCTTATGGCCATTTCAGGGGAATTATCGTGTTTTCAACATTACCAGCAACATGGCGCAATTAGCACGAGTCGCCAAATTGCGCAGCGGTGCCCACTCTAATCTGCCACGCGTACTTTGCCCCGCTTAGAGGAAAGAAGCGACGCTCCGTTGACACCCTTATGTTGCAGTGGAAAGGAGGGGAGGATCGTACGTCTTGACTGACCTCGGGCTTTACCTGAAACGAGGCTGTTGTAGTTATTGGGCGCAGAAAGGTCACTGCAATGATTGCAGTGTCTGTTTGCGAAAAGATCGCACTTTTTAGACACAGCGAAGTAACAACTGAGGTGCTTATTCGTGTGCATATGTACCTATGAGTAAGTTTCGTGCATCATTTGTGCATGAGAAACGTGGGGCACGGTTCGATCTGCTTTCTATTCTGCGCATGACCTTCCAGTGTGTCGCTGTCACATTTATTGCTTCGCCTTTGCAACAAAGCTGTGACTTTTTTAAGATGGTTTTTGCAAATTTTCAAAAATAGTTTTGCGGATCCCTTCAGGTCTGCAGACTCGCTTTTGAAAACCACTGTTACAAAATGTCAATATATGCACAGCAGCTTTTGAGCGATGAATAAATTAAGATATTAATATAGGATACTGTTAGCGCCACTTGTGGGACATTCTGGAGCACAATTCGGATCATGTTGTCTGGCCTCAGTACAATTATTCATGAGTGTGTCTTTTTGCTCAGCCAACGAGCTGGCCGGCTTGGCTCGTGGCGGCCAGAAGCTGGGAAAGCTGAAGAAGAACTACTTTGAGGCGGTCAAGCTGCTCGTTGAGTTGGCTTCCCTGCAGACATCCTTCATCACCCTCGACAGTGTCATCAAGACCACCAACCGACGTGTGAATGCCATCGAGTATGGTGAGTACTCACAGTGCTGATAGAGAGATACAGTCAGTTAACATCAGGTGTAAAGTAGCAAATTGAGCTTGTTGGAGCATACTCATCTCAATCAGCTCACAAAAAGGACAATAACGCAAGAAAGTGCACGACACAAGAGCTGTGTCGTACACTCTCTTGTGTTTTTGTCCTTTTTGTGTGCTGTTCAAGATCAGTATGACATCTCGTGTTTTATTTGGCGCAGATAATAGGGTTGGGGTGTTCAAGCATTCTCCTCCTGAATATTTGGAGTGTAGCTCTAAGGTGTCGATTCCTAAATTAAGTGGTGTTGCCGTCACCATTGTTACTGTTTGTTGCGTAACTGATAGAGATGAAAAAAAAATGAGAAAGAAAAAGTACCCAAGATCTAATCTCATTTGAACCTGGGTTCTCTACGTGGTAGTTGACTACTCTATCACAGAGCCATAGTGGTGGTTGAAACTCATTAGTAAAAAGACCCTATAACGGCGTTATATCGAGCAAAGAACCACATTAACCTGTGTGAAGAGCATGGCGGAAGAGTAAAAGGACAAGCAGTCATCGTACAATGCTAAGTGCACCATAAGTGTGTGGTTTAGTGCTTCCCACCCACTGCTAAATGCTCAGCCATTATTCATCGTCCTCAACTGCATGCAGCATGATCAAAGTGCACACAACGTCTTACAGATGTGTAGTGGGTACATCGCTTTACAGGGAAGATGAATAATGCCATAGTGTTGTCCTGTCCTCCTTCACAACAATTATCTTTTATAGCGTGGTTGATACTTTGCAGAAATAAGAAACTTCATTGTCCTTGCGTCAACCCAAAGGGGCTCTGCCAAATGCAAACTCTCAATGTTGTACTAGTCTGTAAATCTTTTTTCAATTCAGCATGGGTATTCATACACACAGGCTTATAAATGCATATAATAAATTTATAACTGTGAAGTCAAGTTATACAATAAAAACACTTGTGAACTTAATCAGAATGGCATATTTTTTCAATACAAATACTTCAACTGCTCTGCTGTAGAAGACTTACCAGACATGAAAAACTGTTTATTGTACAATAATTAAGGGGAGATGCTACTCAAAAAACGATTTTCTTTAATAAGAGTCTGAATTTAACACAAATTGGCATGCTAATAGTTTTTTCTCCTCTTTTCAAATATGTCATTTATTTTCATGTAGATTGCTTGGTTTTCTTTCTGCAGGTCAGATACTGCAAAATTATGGCCATTGTTATGCAACAATACTGACCTATAAAAATTTGAGATAAAGCATGCAGATATAGCTGGCTGTGATCCTTTGGAACTGTAGAGTGCAAAAAACTATATAAATTTTGTGTGTAAAAAGGTGAAATACAATAATAAAATAGAAAAACTTACTATGGCTCTAGTTGCCAAGGGCTTTTTAATGTTATGTAATTTTTGAAAAACATAATCAAGCAGCACTGACAATCTGAATAGATACTTGCACTCTATGGGCCTTCATCATGCTATGTGCAAAATTTCATAGAGGTATGACAATTCTAAGTATACGAACTAGCGTGTATAAGAAGCACAGATCACACAAAACTGCAAAAGGAGAAAAACACATTTGAAAGTTTGAAACCATTTTTTTTATCACAGAGTTGTTAGAAATGCATAATCTTTGGCCATAATGTTCAACAGAACTTTGAAAAGCACTGCAAGTTACTAGAACTGTCCTGCAGCATAGGTTGTGCCCTGACGGTCCTTGCGAGCATTCTCTTCTAGCCGTGCCCTTTTAACTCCACGACGACGGTGGGCCCTTGCTTCTGCTGTCAGACGCTCGGACATTCTCTTGATGCACCTCGCATCGCGGGAATCACTGAAAGTAACTAGATCTCTAGATGGCAGTATGTTGAGCTCTTCCAGGATGTGCTCGAAAGTAGCATGACCCTTGTTGAACCACAGGATTGCCATAGCTACGGCAGTCTCGACAACCGTTCGGGAGACAAACTTAGTTTTAAAGCAAAGTAGCCAAATTTTGCTGTTCAGGGATTCCGATGCGTTCTGGGTTTTCCCTTTGATGCATCGAGCAAGGAGCTTCTCATCCGTTAGCCGCTTATAAATGGGCAAAACAGCCAATCCCTGTGCTTTTGTCAGGAGAGGTGTGTGGCGTGGTGCAGGTTCACCAAGTGCTTCAGCGCGTTGATGTTTGCACCACGACTCTGTTAAAACATGTGGCTGCAAACACTGTCAGTAGAGCATGAGTGGAAGTACGAAGCCCATACTGCAGTGTACATATCCCGTACACTCCCCCTGTTGCTTGTTATCGCAATCTGATAGTATGTTTGGAGCTTCTGAATGGCTGGCTCTTTCATTTTCTGCCCTCGTGGTAATGGCACATGCAGCTTCCGTAGCGCAGTGCCAAGTCTCTTGGCCACATGATTAGTGCAGTCTTCTTTTTCTATATTGACAGCACCATAGACTTTTGACTCTGCAACTGCACTATATGCTTTGCTGTCACCGTCACTCAAGAATGTCATGAAATGCAATGGGGTGTCATAAGTCAATGTTCTCTGCCAAATGCGCATTGCAGCCTCCGTTTCCGTGGCATGGGAGGAACAGTCTGCATTTTTTTCACAGACTGGGCCATGGAATGCCTGCCACACTTCCTCGTCTGGGCCCATATCTTTGTGCCTACTGCATGTCAGGCTGTAATTTGATATGACCTCGAAGTCTAAGCAGAGGCCAGTATCTAAGGAGATAACTGCGCCAATCCCATTGTGGTTTTTGTGGCCCCTCTTCTGCCAAGTGCCGTCAAACATAACAGCCACATCAGTTTCGCCTGCTACTTCTTTCATCAACTCTCTGGATCGGCGCAAGTTTTCACTCACAGCTGCCATGGCAGCGGTGTGCACCTTCTTTGCTATCGAAAAAAATCCTCGGTGGTGCATTGGCTTTGGGAGTCCAATAATGGAGCAAAATCTCGACAATTGCTCATGCCCAATGCCGACAGCGCGTGCAGCCACCACCGCCTTCACATTTACAGCGAAACTATCTCGGGAGCTCCCACTGTCGTACCGTTGGCTCACTCGGCTGCTGCTGTCCGCCATAACACGCAGTGACGTATAGGAGCACAAAAGAACAGTCGCTGAGCATTCGCTGTTTTCGCAATGAAGTTCGAGGAGCGACGAAAGTCCCTTGCGTTTTTCTGCCAGCTCCCGAATGGCAAGTTTTTGAATACCGCAAGCAGGGCATGCCGCACCTGCCACAAGTGCCGTCAGCAAGAGGGTGTCGCACAAAACTGTCGTTGCACAAACCTCATCGCGCTGTCTTTCATCTTTTTCAAAGAAGCCGAGCTTCTTTTCCGAAGCACTGACGAAAGAAAGCGCAGCGTCAATCCCTTCATCGCAGCCACTGTCGCTCGCGCACTCGTCGATGCCGCCGTCAGGCCTAGCACACGTAGGCGCGTTCTCGTTCGTCGCCGTCGTTCGGGGCGCTTTACGCCGCCTTCCCTTGAACTTGTGCTTCGTTCGAAACTTCTGCGGTCTCACGTTGCACTTTTTCGGGCTTGTTATCGCGGAAATATGCGTAGACGCGCAGAAAAGCAGACGGACCAAATGCCGATGGCCGCCACCAACACAGCTGACAATGACTCAGTAGCCAATTGAGATGCGGCTTAGGGTGCCGCACGTTTCAAACCCCTCAAACCACGTGATAAAAAGGCCTCGTTTTTTATTTTTTTTTTGCCCACGTACGAAACTGGCGGTCGTCGGAGCTGTAAGAAGGCCGGACGCAACTTTCCCAACCGATCGCGGTGGCGGGCGGCACTGCAACGGGGAGCAGCGCGCAGTCAAAGATGGCCAATATCGGCGCAAATTCACGAAATTTTGAGCCACCGCGATGCCTTCATACACATTTTTTTGCATTTTGCGGTTCGAATTTAGTTTTGAAATTTTCACAGATGAAAGAAGAAGGTTTGAAGATTACAATGCAATAAAAATCGGAAATACGAGAAATTTCGCTAAAAACGCGATTTTTTGACTCGCATCTCCCCTTAACGGAGTATCACACACACAACATTGTTGCTTGAGCGTACCATATGGGCAGTTATTTGATCATGTCAAAAAGAGAGGATAGCTGCTTGGTATATTCAAGTAGCAGCGACACCAATGTGCATGTCACCATTCCTGCAGAGAATGAAAACAGCCCTTTATTGTCACAGCTTTGTCCTCCGAACATTCTTTCTTCATTGAGAGAAACAGTGACTACATATGACATCTTTGTTCATTGCAGCTGCTTCATGCTAGGATAACCCAGAATAATGCTGGGTTTTCTTATATCTTTAGAGTGCCCCATCGCAGTGGTCTAGTGGCGAAGGTACTAGGCTGCTGACCCGCAAGTTGCGGTATTCAATCCCGGCTGCAGCGGCTGCATTTTCGATGGAGGCGGAAATGCTGTAGGCCCGTGTGCTCAGATTTAGGGGCACGTGGAAAAACCCCAGGTTGTCAAGATTTCCGGAGCTTTCCGCTGCGGCGCCTCTCATAGTCATATGGTGGTTTCGGGACTTTAAACTCCACATATCTATCAATCAGTCAGTCTTATATATTCAGATATTTCTTCTTGATTTTACAATAGCTCTCCATTCGTGTTGTTGCTTTGTCTAGTTATATAAGGGCGGTCCTGTTTTGCAACCACTTGCGCAGCCTCGTACACAGTGCTATGTTTTAGCCACTATAGCTAAATACTGGCGCATCATTGCGAAAATTCATGGCGAGAGTGGGGGGTAGTTTGACAACTCAATTTTTTGTTAATTTGTGCATTAGATTTATTGAAATTTTGAACACATATCTTCACTGATACAGTCAACTGCTGATTTTTCGGACACCTGAATTTTCGGACAAGCCCAATAATTCGAACATTTTCGCGGCACCGCCACGAGCCCCATTGAATCAATGTATAAGGAAATCTGAAATTTCGGACACTCGAACCTCCTGGAGCCCAATTTTCGGGACTTTTTGACGCGACAAAAGG